TATACCACTAAAACCCCCCGAAAAACCTATGTAATAATTATAAGCGGACGGGAATCACCGGGAATCAAGAATTTCGGGAATCATGTGTACACTTTAAAAGGGAGTTATTTCCCCCTCGGGAGGCGCACTCTTTTGTGTCTGAACAATATCAATTCCGCGCCAAATTCTGTCCCTCACAATTGTTGTGGTAAATACAATTCAGTAGTTAGTTAGTGAACAGCACGAGCGAAGCGAGCGCGAAAACGTTTGGGACAAAACACCCTACCGGGGCGTCAAAATGTGTACTTGACCTAAACGGCGAATAGACTGCAGTTTGGGGACCAGTCAGACCAAATTTCCCTGACTTTTTTTCATTTCCCCTGTGTTTTCCCTGACAGTTTTTTATTTCCCTGAGTTTTCCAGGTTTTCAAGGTTTTCCAGAGTTGTGGCAACCATGGTACGGTGTATTTCCTGGTATATCTCCTGCAATTTCGGTTCTTTCTCGCCTATTTCGGATTATTTCAGGGTATTTCGCGGTATTTCGCTGTATTTCGCGACTATTTCACCGACTATTTCGCGTATTTCGGGTCATTCGTCGGAACTGAAAAGTCTTCTTCTTCAGTGAAGACGATAGCGCACAGCGCAGAACAACTTTCTAGAAGTCTTTCGCAACTTTTAAGAGACAGCCCTTTCCTTGACTATCCATAGGCGAAATAGCTACCTAGCTTCAGGACCCTCTCGAGGCTACAATAGTGGGCGAAAATTGACCTTGCAGATTTTCTTCTCATACATAAAATTACTATTCTCTAAAAACGCCTTTGCAATTCCAGATTTTTGATCCACCCTATTGATTGTGCACTGGAACAGAAATCGGGCCCCGAACCAAAATGTACCCACCCATCTCGTAAAACTGGAAACCATATTTTGTTGTGAAACTTTTTTACAAGTATTTCAAACGTGATATCAATTAACAAACAACTAAAATACTTGCCCTTACAAGTGAGATCGTTTGCAAAGGCACTTTTGAAATGGTCAGAGACTTGAAAAGCACTTGGCGAAAAAAATGCCTCAAAAATGGTCACAGCTCCTCACCTGAAAAGCGATTACCCCCACAAGGGCTAGAGTTACAGCTGCTCCGTTCATGATGAATACCTCGATGCCTGCTGACATGTTCGTTGAGGTGGTGCCCCCTATTTAAACTACTTGCTTCCTACTGTACTGTCAAAGTACGCGTCCCTTACCCACCACGTCAAGTGCAGCAACTGGCATTACTGCTTTGTCACAACACAAACACGAGAGCCACACTGGTTTCTGTGAATTTTCAGTAAGAAAGGTTTGGTAACAGCGAGCCGTACCTGTGTTGGCAATAAGCACAGAGAGTAGCCATAAAAGACAGAAAAGACCACATACGCAAGGTGTTAAAACTTCCAATATACTCCTAACAGTACCTCTATGTTTGCCGGAACCACGTTTTGCGTAGCAGGCTAAGGGATATCTTGATTTGACCCGCAGCACACAAGTTTTCGACCCATGGGGTCCGAGATCTTCACGCGTAAGTTCAAAATATGAACCAAAATGGTCGAAATTTTAAAATTGTCAGAGAAAGATTATTTTGAACATTTTTTCCGGATGAACTCAACGCAGGAAAAAGAAAAAACCAGAACACTGTCGACCCTTTCCGACTCCCCACTTGGGCCCTAGACGCCTCCGCTTCGCTTTGGATAATTCAGGCCTTTGCCGAACGGAAAGTGTTACCCGCAGTTGCCCGATTTGAGTGTCGTTTCCGCATAATACAACATTGCTGCTACCGAATATTAGGTCAAATGAACACAAAATCGACTTGAGTCGAAAACTGACCCAACGGACGACTGTTAAATGTGAATTCAGATTGATAAGAAAGTGCACATGAGGCCACCGACTTTATTTTGAAAAACTTTTCGCGCATTTGTAGGGTGAGGATATTTATCTGAACGCGGAGCACGTCTATAATTTTGCGGAATCACAAAGCGTAAGAGTTTTGAGCGTTGTAGAAAATAAAAAAAAATATGTGTTAATTCTTTAGAGTTTAAAGGGACAAAACCAGCCTGAGGGTAGTGTTTCGCAGGCAAGCTCCAAAAAATGAAGATATTTCGAGTTTTGTTATGCTTTTTACTCGTTCTTTACCTCCACTCTCACTTCCCTCTTGGAGGTGGGAGAACGAGTATTGTGCTTGGTCTGGTGTAATTTAGCGACTCGATTCATCTCGGTAACCACAACACCTACAACTATGCCAGTTGTATCAAACTGTAGGTCTTGGCGGCCTCGCCAATCCATAATAGACGTTTTTTTCGGTTTATTACGCAAAATTGAAAGAAATTTCAGAAATAAGGTCGAAAAAATCGCCGGTCGAGCGTGCGTTTCGGATGGTTTTTCTACACGGACAAATATCTTAATAGAGATAAGTTTTACCTGAAAAAATTTGGCTAAACAACTAAAAGTAGGCTAGCCGTTAATGTTTCAACTTAAAACAATCATATTATAACCTTTTTTGGTTCTCATAATGATTAAAACCTATCTCAAATGAAATTCTTCTAACACGAAAAAAACAATCAAGCGCATGCGCGAACAGCGCCATCTATTGAGAAAAGCTAAAACTGCGTCGGAGCGAAAAGTTTTGAAGAGCGGTCATTAACAACAATGATCTTTCTGTTTTCATTTCATAATCACACCAGACCAAACTTGGGTAAAGAACGAGGTTTCTCCTAATGTATCAAACATGTTTGATGCCCTGATGCTCTTCTTGTTTATTCTGTACTGCGACCGAGGGGGCAATAACTCACTTTTGATGTGTGCTCATGATTCCCAAAACACTTGATTCCCAGTGATTCCCAGTGATTCCCGTCCACTTATATCCATTCCTTAGGTTTTCTAGAGGCAGAAAACGATTAATTCGACTACCTTAATTCTATCAATTTCATTAGTTTCCCACTTAGTTTAAACGATTTCTGTTGATTTCGAATAATTTTTATACTGATGATTCCCAGGCAGATGTACACAGGATTTCCATAGTTATTGCCCCCTCGACAAGGAGCCCCATCGGAGGAAAGGGTGTGGGCCACGGACGGGACGGAGTTTTCCGTAAGGAGTTGTCTAAAAAACCGTCGATGGCAAACACATTTTCATCGTAGGTTAGTTGCTGTTCATGCTATTGAGATATGCTTTAAATATCC